GGGTTGAGTCGAACTGATCCTCCGGTGCCTCAAACTCCGGCTCCAGTGAAGTCCGCATACGGTTCCCATTGTTTCGGCTTAAAAACTGCTGTTTAGGCCTAATTCCGGTCGACTGTCCCAAGAATATTGGTCTCAAAGGGGCCGTCCCTAACGGGTCCGATAGGTCTCCGTCCGGACTCGAGCGCCGGTATCTCTCACGAGTTGGTAGACATTGGATGACATGTATGGCCATAAGAGTGGACACAAAAGCAATGATTACTTTCATAGCAAACGTATTGATGAGTGAAAAGTAAACGGAAATAAAAATATGTTTCTTATGATAGACTCCTTGCTATCAATCACTTGATAAGAGGTTTAGTTATGTTTTAGTTATTATTGGCTTTAATCGACTGTTTTTCACTCAGATATCAAGCAATTATCACAAACAAAACGGATTTGAAGTATAAAACAATTACTTTATTATATCAATATATTGTGAGTTCATATGATCACCAAAAGTAAGTTATAGTAACTTATGGTCAGTACTATTGAGGTGATGACAACTTTATATTTAATATAAAAGTTTGCTATTTTTGTTGTCAACTACTTATAGACTACTACTGAAAAAATATGTGTCACTATTATTGTGTGCTTGGCTATGATGTCAAAAGTATTGACATAATGGGAGTGTCGGGCGTATTATGTTTCACATATATATAAATAACACGAAATTAATTTATATAATATTAAAATTTAATGTTTTTCAAATTAAACTCAATGCTATCAAAATAAATTAATTACTATATATCGCTATAAAATATATTTACTCTATTTTGTTCAAAACTATATTCTGACTATTTTTTAAAAAGTAATATAAAAATTTCATGTACTTTAAAATAACAGATTAAATATCAAAACTTACGGAAATACCTAAACCTAATCGTACCTGATAATCAGTTATTTTCTATTCATATATTGCGACATAATATGCTTTAAATTTTTGTCTCATTTACATGCAATCCAATGGGTGTCGTGTTAATATTGGTTTTCATATTATTTTAATCAAATCATTATTGCAAATAATTATTTAAAATAATAATAGAAATATTGATTAGAATTTAATTTAATATCAAAAGTTTGTATATTTATATTTTGGGATAGGTTTAATGTATTTGTTAAGTATAATGAAAATATAAATTGAAAAACAAGAAATTCCATAGTAAACAAGTATATATAAGTTAAATCTTGTAAAATATATGTTATTTCATTGACCAACTATGGAGTTTATATTAGCATGGCGATATAAATTTATAAATTCATTTAGTTATTTAAGTACAAAATTGGCCTATATATTTATAACCTGCTTAAATTTTATAAAATTGATTCTTCGATTAAGTTTAAAAATATTTTTGATAATTTATAAATTTACAAAACAAGTAATTTTTGGGACAAAAGTAAGACTATTAGTGAAAGTGTTGTGTCTTTCAGTGCTATTCTACGGAGGAATAGAAGTGACAAAAGAGTACTTCAGTTATCCATATGTTTATCGACTGAGTGTTAAACCAT